AGGTAGACCTAAATTAGATTACTGTTCCCAAATAGTTAAGGATATGGGTTGTTCTAGCTTTAGGGAAATGCGAAGGTTATCGCAGGATAGGAAAGGGTGGAGGTGCGTGTCCAACCAGTCTTAGGACTGACGACCTTATGATGATGATGATGAAACTTTGTAAGATGTCAGGTATTGTAATAATAAAAAACAGTAATCTTGCTGTTGTATAGCGGAAGAAAGACACTCCTGCAGCCGATTGAAGGCGCTTCGAGCGTCGTGACTCGCAGCGCTGGGAAGAGCACCAACACCCAATCTAGTTTTTTTGGCACTCCATTCAAGTGCAAAATATTACAAAATGTGATTCTAGTATTGTATTGTTGTTTATAATTAAAGTAGAAAATTAATTGGAAATATTAATTGTAATGTAATGCACATAATTAAAATTATTCTTCTTTACATCATACGACATAAAATGCAAACAATGTAATTTCCTTATTAACCCCTTTTTTGTTCTATACGGTTAATATTTTTTCATTAGCAATAAACGACTGACAATTATTAAATAAAAGGAATACAAACAATAATTTACAAGTGAATGCAAGCTAATTGGATTTTGTGTGGTGCTCATTTCAGCGCTGCAAGTCACTGTGTTTTTCCAGTTAGGTGTGTAATAAGTTTTAGCTAGTATAATATTTTATTGTTATTAGCTCTCCTACTATTGGTATGAAATTACGAAAGTGTTTTGGTAACTGCTTAGCTCTTGCAGGTCGAAGTGCAGCTTGCTCTAGGAGCCTGCTCTTTTACGATTGCGGATTTTCCTTTAATGACTTCTGGTTCGCGAATGTTAAGTGGAATATCAGTCTCTTCGATATTTTGATTTGCTCGATTCCTGAGATTTTTAATTAAGACTCCTAACTCAATGCTTTGTTAATTATTCTGAAATTCTGCTGTAAACGTTATTCTTTTTTCTAGCTGTTCTCCTGATGTTAGTTGTGGAACTATAGTTGACCGAAGCTGGTCGATATGACCTTTTATGTGTATCCGTCNGGACATAATGTTGTGAATTTGTTTGGTTTGGAGTTTAGCCTCTATGGTTATGAATATGAATGATCCTCATTAATTCGCAAATTTATTCCAGTGTTAATGCTTATCTTAGTAGGATGGTAGTGAATGTATGTTTAATAGCAAAGATAAGAGATATACTTACACTATACACTATAATCTTTTATCTATGGTTTAAAAGGTACAGATTCAAAATATGACGGTGCAGTGCCGATTTAAGCGCGAATTTTGAAATGACAGCAGAATTAATATTTATTATAGATAATTAGTATCAGAATATCATTTTAACCAATCCTAATTTTCTCTTTCAATATTAATAAATGAAATTATTTTATAATTAGATGTATCTTTTCACTAATATTGAACGCAACCTACATTTCGGAACACTATCAAACGGATGTACATTAAAGATGAATCTAATTTTTCTCTGATATATCTCATCTATTTTTTCCTCGAAAAATAAAAATTCAAACAATCTCCTTAACTTATTCAAAATTCAGAAATCATTTTCAATCGATTAAGTACTTGGAGTCTATTGTATAATTAATTTTAAAAAATGTTGGCTAATCGTAAGTTCATATTAATCATTAAATTCATTACCTGTCTATGTTCATTACCAATTAACTAGTCACAAACAGTCACAAACAAAACCATTTATGTCACAAACATTCACAAATGATTGGTATAGGTGAATGTTAGAAATTTGACTTTTAATGTTTTCCGTTGGTTAATTTAAAAGAGCCATATGTACGGTAAATTGCAAACCTTAATAATAACTTCAATACATATCAATGAGAATGAGGCCATGTTGAGGCCAATAAGTAATATTCTGCTTCTATGTTCAGCCTTCCAGTGCAGTGGTGTGTAGTGGATGTGCTAATGTATGGGTGGAAAACAGTATACGATTAAAGATTTTATATGTTTAATAAAGTTATCATACTTATAATTAAAAATGGAAAATGCAACTTCAGAAATGTCTAGACTTTGTCGTGCATGTAAAAATGAATCCAAACATATGCTATCGTTGTTTGAATCTTTAGAAAACATGGAACCCAGTCCCCGGATTGACGAGATGCTAATGGCTTGCACTTCTATTCAAGTAATATTGATTTACAAAAATCAAAAATACTACTGGCGACTTAAATCAGTTATTTTTAATAATGTAGTTTAAAATAATAATGAATAGTTTTTCGAACTTGAACAGTTTCAAAAATTAGTATGAAACTACAAACACTAGTTATTTGATGTTTGTCAATTTCTGATCATAAAATTAGTCCAGCTATTAATTAAATTAGTGTTATAATTAGGCGTATTTAAACATTCATCTTCATTTGCTTACTTACCTGTATGTACATAAGTTAATATGGGTATTGTTGTCAATGTAAAGGTTAGCTTAAGATAAATACACAAATAATGTTACAATATGCATCTTAAATATTTTTAGACTGAAACTTATTATTTCAGATTCGTTTGGGAGATGGTCTGCCTACACTTATTTGCTCACCTTGTACAGATCTCCTGAGGGCATCGTATTTGTTCAAAAAAAAGTGTGAAGATACTGATAATGATTTTAGAGAGCATATTAAGCAGATTAGAAAAGATGAAGACATTAAACCAAATACCTCACAAACTACATCTAATTCTGAATTGTCAACTAATTTGTTAGAAGAAATCAATAATGTTATAGTTAATAATGTATCGGATTCTTCATTACTTTCATCCAATTTGCAAACAAGCCTTCAATCAGAAATTAAATGTGATTCTGAAAACAAAGATTTTATAGAAATTCTAGATAACTGCCAAATTCTTCTCACTTGCCGTACTTGTCATAAAAGTTTTACTACATGTGATGGACTTAGGAGTCACAAAAGGTTACACACTGGTGAATTATTTCAGTGTAAAGTATGCTCCAAAGTGTATACTCGTCAAACGCACCTACAAAGACATGAAACAACACACAAAAGACATAAGGTACATATTTGTAAAATATGTAATAAGACTTTAAAGAGATATGAGCATTTAAAGCGTCATCTGATTACGCACATTAGAGAAAAGCCATTTGCTTGTAAAAGTTGCAGTCGTGGCTTTAGTAGGGCAGAACATTTAGCAAACCATGCAGTTCGTTGTAAAGGAGATAAAGTTTATGTTTGTGATATTTGTAATAAAGGATTCAATCGTGCAGATAGCTTGGAAGTTCATAAAAAACTACATGAAAATAAACAACCAGTTCTACCTACTTTAGAAGATTTGAATAATGTGGAGGACCACTATTTTGAGATTGATTTTGAAGATAGTTCAATGCTTCAAGATTTTGCTGATGATGGAGATGGCGATGATGATGATGATGACAAAAGAGACTGTTTTGAGCCACAAGTTAATATAACAGAAAACACAGACCAGCAGATTGACTTGTACTCATCAAATTCAAATAAAGGAGAAGATATTGCAATACAAAATGATAAAAAAAGTCAGTATGAAACTGGTGAAGTAATTTCTGATGATGTTGAAAATCAATATGACCACAATTTTGTTGATATACATCAAACTGATGATGATGCTAATGTTGAACCAGCTGAACATGATAGTGTGGAAATAATAACAAAAGAAGAAAATGTATATGATGATGATGAATGCAGCTTTTTGGATAATAAGGCTGAAGTAGAGAATCTGACAGTACAAAACGACACCACCGTGTACCCTGAACAAGATACTGAGTTTAATGATGAATATGTTGCAGAAGAATCAGATAGTGCTGATTCTGAATATCGGCCCATGAAAACAGTTAGACGGTCAAAAGGTAAAAGAGGTAGACCTAAAAAGTACTCTAAATCTCCTAAAGCAACTGGAAGGCCAAGAGGAAGACCATTAGGATCTATAAAAGTAAAAAAAGTTATAGATGATGAAAAGGCATCATGTAAGGAATGTGGTAAAAAGTTTGTTAGGCATACTAACTTGAAACGACATCTTATGTCTCATTCTGAAATAAAGCCATATCAATGTGAAAAATGCTCTAAGAGATTCAATCGACGTGATCATTTGTCCACTCATATGAAATTGCATTTTAGAAAAAATAAATTCCAATGTGAAATTTGTAAATGCTCCTTTAGTAGAGCTGATCATCTTGCTAAACATCAGGTATCCAAACATAACATTGGAAACATTGTCATATCGGAAAAGAAATTTAAATGTGAAATTTGCCAAAAAGGATTTACCACTGAAAAATATCGTGATATCCATATGAAAGGACATATGGGCGAAAACACTTACATTTGTAAGACATGCGAAAAGACGTTTATTTCTAAATCACATTTAACAGAACATATGAAGTTTCACAACGATCATTGCAAGAAATTTTTATGTTCGGAATGTGGTCAGCGATTTATAAGAAACGATTATCTTGTTATTCATATGAGACGACACAGGGGAGAAAAGCCATTCAAATGTAAATTTTGTGGAAAAGGTAAGAAAATTTTCATGATAAATCCAAAATTTGATCTATTCAGGAATTATATTGTCTTCATTTTTTGATGTGTACACATTAAAAAGAAAAATAATAGAGCTCCACCCAAAAAATGATCCTTAATTTTTTAATATATGTATATCCTTTGTAACATGATGTTTAAAAAAGGTGGAGAGCGCTAAATGTTTTGTCAAAGTGAATTTTATTTTTTTAACCTTTGGTTTAATACTTGTTAGTTACTAGTTTGTATATGTGATATAATTGTACTCCCATCTTTCAAAAGCGGTGAAGAACTGCCCACTATACAACTTTGGCAACTCAGTTAATTCGGTATGATTCGATTCAGATCGAATCCAACATGATATTTGCAGTGGCGTACACAAAAATTACGTAGCGTTAAGAAAAAATCTTTGTTTTATTAATCTGATGTTAAGTTCTTTTCTGTCACTAACAATATTCAATTTTGCTAACAACCTATACAACAGTCAATACAAAATGGTATTAGTGACACAGTAAGTATCGTGTTAAGAAAGTGTTTCCTCGCCAACACTAGAAACAAAAGTAATATGGACAATTATATAATATATGATTTGTTAATTACCTTTTACTGTAATTGTAATGAAAATATGCACCGATTCTTATTAACTAGTAATTAAACGTAAAATTCGTCTTATAGATGAGGTAGATTAACAAATTTGCATTTACTTAGAAAAGAATTGATGTAGTGTTGTTTATTATTAAAATAATGAAACAATCAATAGGATTGTTATGTATGTATTTAAAACCGTTGGGATTGTAAACTTTTGGGAACTTATCCGACTACACTCGTTAAGGCAACTGTAGGTATTCAGGATGTTTTTAGTGGGACTGATATGTTATCTGTAGCTTTCAAATAATAGGTCATACTTTTATTTATTTTTGTGTTCTTTCAGAAGAGATTTTTGTTAAAAAATCTTAAAAAATTACTATCCGTGTCCGTACAAGAGAGTGTCCGCTTATGGGAGAGTGCTTTTCTTATGGAAAGCGGCCGGGATCAGGTAAATGTGTCCGCTCGAGAGAGGTTTCACTGTATTTAGGAATAGTTACTGCTCTAGGAATCAGATTAGTTCCAATTGGTAATCCACAAACAGGTCTTCGTTTTTACTGTGGCACTAATGTTATCATTTTGTGTTGATTGTTGTATAAGTTGTTAGCAAAATTGAGTATTGTTAGTGATGCAAAAAAATTAACAGCAGATTAATCAAACAAACATTTTCTTTCTTAACGCTACGTAATTTTTGTGTACGGCACTGCAAATATGTTAGATTCATCTGAATCGAAAATGATTTATTACTTTTCCGTCTTGATCTATACGATTATCTTTATGAAATAGAGTTTCGGAGTATAGCAGTGTTTACTTCTGCACAAGCCTAAGAAGTTTTACTTTCATCTATTTAAATAAATTGACACAATTTGTAAACTTTGCAATCTTTTTATTGAAATGACAATTGCTTCGCTACACTGTAGTTTTAGTTATTTTTATCTGTGGAATATTTGTCTAAATCCTTAACTGATTCAAGCAAACCGCAGAAAAACTTGGACCGGGGCAGATGAACCCGGAATCAAGGTGGTGTCTCGTATGTTAAGCTATGATCTTGGGAATGTCGGGGAATGCTTTTCCCGATATATCCTTTAGTTGGCTTTTCCAACTTGTGATTAACTAGGAAATATGTTAAAAATAGACTTTTATAACTTCATGTAAAAACGCCTGCAGGTAAACCTGCTTGAGAAACTCGAAGAGCATTCGTGTATACGGGCTGTAATAAGATTACAAAAGGGCATAAGTTACGTTGTTACTTCGTAGAAAACTCTTTTTAAAAAAAGAACTCAAAAAACTTTCTAGTTTTATTTAAAGTTTAGCTACAATAACGGGGTTTAAATATTACAGGAATGTGCTATGCACTACAACTACTAGAACTCAGAAAATTGTTTCTCATAAGGCTTATATACTAAGAAATATGATACGTTTCGTTATTAATGTGAAAAGTGTACACCCTGCATTTTTAATAATTAGTTCAGGCATTTTCACATGGTTAACTCCTCCGTCCTTAAGACTTAACTTTATTCCATAAAGTTTCATTTACAATATTGAAAATTAAAGAATTTCTCATCAATTAAAGAATTAAACAGGAAATTACCAAATAGTATCTACAAGTTTCTCTTGCAAGAAGTAGGAAAGGTTAATTCGATAAATTCCTCTTCGTGGTTTAATTTCTTTTTTCCCTAATCGTTATTTTTTTTATTTTTACTTGAATCTTGAATTTTTTAAATGAACTTGTAAATTATACTTTTCTGGTAGTTATTATTATTATAGGAATTATAATTATCAATGGTACAAAAATTACAATAATATAGGGGAAAACATTGTTATTATTTTTTCAATTGTTTTAGAAAAAAAGATTCTGCCGTTTGCACATTTATTTTCGACAACTGGTCCAAGTCAACGGACTTTAAATTTACAGCAATTGTCTTATTAGTTAACGGCAAATAGACAGGTTCC